CTGCTCGACGACCTGACGACCGCCTCGAACACTGGTGAGTCATCGACCGCAGAGGGGTCAGGGGTCAGCAGGGGGGGGGGGGGGGGTCAGCAGGGGCATAGGCTGCAGGACGACCTGATGACCCGCCTCAAACACTGGTGAGTCATCGACCGCGAGCGCGCGGGGGTCAGGGGTCAGCAGGGGATGACCGTTGATCAGTGGGGGGTGAGAGCGGGCCATAAGGGCCCATTGGCAGAAACAAAAATAATCTTAACAGGTATCGCAACAACAAATTTTCTATTGTAGATCGGACCTCTATGCAATGTGTATAACTTTGTTTTTGTCGACGGTGTGTGCGAAAATGTTGAGAAAGTTTCGTTTGTAACAACTGGCCTCCAGGCCTATTGTTCCACATAGTCACGAGTATGTTTTGTGTGTGTGTGTGCGTGTGTGTGTGCGTGCGTGCACGCGTGCGTGCGTGCGTGCGCAGGCACATCACCAGGCGGAGGCCCGGAAGCTCTGGCTTCAACATTATTTTTTTTAATTGTGAAATTAAACAGTTGCAATGTACTTTTTACTGTGTTTCAAATGTTAAAATTTCATTTTAAATCTCGCCAGCGTACACCATTTGTCATGTAGCATTTCAAAAATGTTCGGGGAGGCCCCCCAGACCCCCACCAGGGAGAGGGGGAAACCCCTTCACACACCCCCTTTACGGTGCTTCGCGACTTCGTGACTGGGCTTCAGCATTTGTCAATCCCTGGCGACGGCCCTGGTGCGGGTATGCATGCCTGCGTGTATATTGAGGTTCCTCACCTCCTTCCCTCCTCTCTCTCCCCGCGCGTGCGTGCACAGGGAGGAGAACCCGCGGCTGGCGGACATCTTTGTGCGCTTCGGACCGTTCCTGAAGCTCTACACCTCCTACATCAAGGACTTCCAGCAGATGTGTGAGACACTGGACGAGGCGCGCAAGAAGTACCCGGCCTTCAACGCAGTCGTCACCGAGTTTGAGGTACTAAACACTATACTATGCTAATATACGATATCCTATATATATATATATGATGCTATATAATCTTATGTATAACCTCAGTGCACGAGATTAGCGCTATTTTGCCGGAGGCCGCCGGTTCAATCCCTCTAACCGCCGGTTCAAGCACGAATAAATACGAAATCTATTTACTACGAAAGTCTTAATGTTTCTCCACTCTCTTTCGCCTATTATTGCCGACAATTTCCTGTAAATGTAATTTCCTGTAAATGTAATTTCCTATAAATATAGAGACATCTACATTTGTGTCAGTGTGTGGCAGCGTGTGGCAGCGTGCGTGCGGTGGACATGTGTGTTGCAGAGGAGCATGTGCACGGCATTTACAGGAAATTGTCGGCAATAATAGGCGAAAGACAGTAGAGAAACATTAAGACTTTGGTAGTAAATAGATTTCGTATTTATTTCGCATTATATTTTATTGAAACTCTCCAAGTGCCTATGGGTTCAACCCCCCATATTATCAGTCCACTTGGCCTATTCAAAATTTTGCCTATCTTGCAAATATATCAACATTATTTACCAATTTTCTTACTAGTTTTTACTTCACTAAAACTCTACTCCAACTCTTAATACAAACTGTGCAAATAAATACTATGAGTATGCCTAATAAACACAAAGCTAATACTTATATTAATACTGGAATAAATTGATCAAAATTAAGGGCCTGTTCAATTTGTCTACGGGCCTGTTTAAAATTTTGCGTGGGCCTGTTCACATTTTGGCTATTTTCATGCCCTGTAACCTGGTAATATACTCTCTTACAAGGTTGCAGACGGGGCCACTATACTTATAGAGAGAATCGTTAGAGTTAATTACTAGAGGTGAACAGTACAGGTCTTTTTTATATAAATACCCCACCTCAGATGCGGTAGCCAACGGGGTCAAAGTTGTGGGAAATCAATTCATTTACCCGTAACTTACCCACTGCTTTAACTGTGTTGCTATCAGTCGCTAGCGGTGGCTGTGGGGGTTGTAGACTGGCGCGGTTATACTTATAGACTGGCGCACGTCGTTATAGTAATCTCTGCTCTCTTGCTGCTGTGTACAGGCGCGGGAACGCTGCGCGCATCTGGCGGTGAAACACTACATGCTCAAGCCGATCCAACGCCTGCCCCAGTACCGCCTCCTGCTCGAAGGTAAGCCCCCGACCTCATGCAAGGTCACGCGAGGTCACGTGGGCATACAGGGTTACTCGGTGAAAATTGTGGAGAGGTTGTAAAGCCAACAAAAG